GTGAGAGAAGACATCCTTGTCTCATTCCTGATTCTAGAGGGAAAGCTTGCAGTCTTCCACCATTAAGTATAGTGTTAGTTGTGGGTTTCTCGTAGATAACCCTTTACTAGGTTGATGAAGTTTCTTTCTATTTCTAGTTCATCCAGTGGTTTTGTCTTGAAGGAGTGTTGAATTGTATCAAATGTCTTTTGTGTCTATTGAGGCACATGTGGCTTTTGTCCTTTATTCTATTTCTTTTTTCTGTTGAGACAGTCTCGCTGTGTCACCCAAGCTAGAGCGCAGTGGTGTCATCATAGCTCACTGCGTCTTCTAATTCCTGGCCTCAAGCGATCCTCCCACCTCAGCCTCCCAAAGTGTGAGCCAGGGCTCCAGGCCTCCTTTATTTTATTGATACGGTGTATTCCATTAATTGATTTTTACAAAACATTCTGACATACTATTCTGCCCCATGTGTAGGCTGGTACTCAAAGTAAAGCAGTGCTACTAGGTGCTCTCTTGTTAGGCTTGACCAGGGATGCTGAACTTACTTGGAAATTTTCTCTAAACAAAAGAAACTTTCAGCTCTTTAAAACTTTGGCTATTGCATCCTCTTCTCAGTGTCTCTTCTTTCTTTCTCTTTTTTTCTTTCTTTCTTTCTTTCTTTCTTTCTTTCTTTCTTTCTTTCTTTCTTTCTTTCTTTTTCTTCCTTCCTCCTTTCCTTTCCTTTCCTTTCCTTTCCTTTCCTTTCCTTTCCTTTCCTTTCTTTCTTTCTTTCTTTCTTTCTTTCTTTTTCTTCCTTCCTCCTTTCCTTTCCTTTCCTTTCCTTTCCTTTCCTTTCCTTTCCTTTCCTTTCCTTTCCTTCCCCTTCCCCTTCCCCTTCCCCTTCCCTTTCGTTCTTTCTTTTCTTTCTTTTCTTTTGACAAAGTCTTGCTTTTTTGCTTGGGGTGGAGTGCAGTGGCATCATCATACCTCACTGCAACCTCAAACTCCTGGGCTCAAGTGATCCTCCTGCCTCCTGAGTAGTTGGGACTACAGGCGTGAGCCACCACGCCTGGCTAATTTTTTAATTTTTTATTTTTTGTAGAGATAGGGTCTTGCTGTTGCCCAGGCTGGTCTTGAACTTCTGGGCTAAGTGATCCTCCTGCCTTGGCCTCCCAAAGTGCGTGAGCCACTATGCCTGGCCTACAGCATCTTTTTTTTTTTAAATATACATTAATCACAGGTAGTATGCTTGTAGCCAGTGATTTTTTTGGCACTTTCCATACTTGGGAATAGCTATGTCAATTCTTGTTTTAAATGAGTCAAGACATTTCCATTGCTGCTTCTCAGAGACTGCTCTACCATTGAAGTTGTTCAGTTTAGTACACTACATGCTATTTTTCTCCATCTTATAAATTATTTGAGACTTTCAGCAGCTCATTACTTTATTCTTTCCACTGGACCGTCTGCAGTGTTTCCCCTTCTGCTGGACCCTGGTAATAACCATGTCCCAGTTGTTTTCTTCAGCAAGAGAGAATGTGGAAACATCCTGACTTCTGGTATTTTTATTATTCTTGAATCCCCGCTTATAGACCTCTGCCAGAGTGCTGGGGGATTTTATAGAACAGATGCACATAGGCATTGCCTGAGTATCTTGCAACCTGATTTAACACCAGGCAACCAATGCAAACTTAGACTTGAGAGAAGTAACTGAGTGGTACAAGGATGAAGCTATTGGCTTCTAATAGCGGGCCACTTTGTGCCAGTTGCTAGGTTTAGGGATGAAAGAAGCAGCAATTTGTGTTGCTGAGTGACGTTTCCATGCATATGAAAGGAGGTCCATCCTCCACTTCAAATGTGGAATCTTTTCTTGAGGTAGGCTGTGTTTCAGCCTTGTAAATATCCAAGGAAACAAATCAAGTTTCTACTCTTGCCTGTGCTTTCAGGCTCCCTATTCTACCTTACTTTATTCTGTAACTTTTAAAGACAAGATCTCACTATATTGCCCAGGCCGTACTCTAACTTCCGGGCTCAAGGGATGCTCCCTTGTCTTCTTCCCGAGTAGCTGGGATTACAGGCACACGCCACCACTACACGTGACAGGTGGCTGCGTCGACTGATTCCGCAGCAGCTGCACGGCTCTAAGCTTCGGGTTAATGCCACAGTAACCCAGTCCCTGCCCTCAGGAGCTCCTGGTCCAAGTTCAAGATCACATAAAATCACTTGAGTCCCCTTTGAAATGATACTGTTTCCTGAACAAATTTTCAATTTGATATAATTTTTCTTGATCCCTTTCATCCTGTCTTGCCAAGGTGGGATGTTTATTTAGAAATCATTTCACCTGGGACAATGGTGCCATCGGTCAGCCTGTCCTCAAGGGGATCCTCTGGACATTGAACCAATCGTCCATGTTGATGGCATCTGGAAAGCACTGCCTCACCTAGGAGGACACCCTGGGCTGGGGCGGAGGCCCAGCTGCTACCTTGCAATGCTCCCCTCTCAATCCCACATCTCCAGCTCCAGCAAATGGGCAGCTGGCTGGGTGAGAAGACTTTCCTATCCCAGATAAGACATCCTGCCCTTCCACTTGAGGGAGAGGGAGAGGGGCTCCAACAGTTTACAAGGGACTTGAACATCATTTGTCATCTAGAGGAACAGGGCAAGTGAGGTGACATTGCAATTTTCCATTTCTCCCTCTGCATTCAGTACAAGCTTTACTGTAGGCTAGAAGTCCATGAGCCAACCTGTCTGTCCTTTAGTTTTCCTCATTCGGTACTCTGGTCCCCTTTGTGTTTGGCAGAATGTTATTTTCATCTGCCCTCTAGGTCAGGGAGCTAGGTTTCACATAAGGATTCTAATGCAAACCAAAGCAAAACAGAACGTTCTAGTGTTTACAAGGAACAGATGGATGCTTATGTCAAAAGTCTATATTTTAGCCTCTTCATGTATGTGAGGCCTGGGTCAAATGAGCACCCCCCCCCCACCCAAATCCTTATTGCATCGCAGTCCCGATGTAGAGATAGAGAACTGAGAGCTGGTCCAGAGAATAGCTACTAAGGCATGATTAGTTTAAATAGGTATCAATCCCAACTAATTCGTGAGCTCTCAGATACTACACACTTCATTCTTGTTTGCTTACGTAAGTGCCCACATGAGAACTGAAAATCTTAACCCCACACTTGTGAATAAGGCTGAGTATATAGCACATAGCAGGACCTCTGGCAGAAAAAGCAAATTCGGTCTTTCTCCAACAGCTTTATTATCATCTTGTATTCACCCTGAAGGTAACCTGGAAATTAGGGCATTGTTTGTCCTGACTAAATATTTCAGGACATTGAACTTGCTTTTGCTTCATTTTTTCTGGCAGACCTGAAGATTATCCCACAAGGTAGAACAACTCATTTGACTTGGCCCCAACCATGCTTCATACACAGATTTCCTATTATGAAGAATTCCAGTAGGACTCCCTACGGGAGAAAAACACCCATTTTAGTTGGCACACACCACAGTCACTGGAATCAGTTACTAAGTCACAATTTCCTTAAAATTTGGAAGGATTTTGGGATTGCTATTGTTTTCCTGGTAAATCACTGGATCATACTGGTGTCTTGGAATAAAGCAACACATTTTAAATATAAGTTTCCATAAACTGTAACTCAACTTCTCAGGCTCCTGGGGGATTTTCACTGGCCCAGACTCAGGAAGAGTTTTCTTTTGTGGGGTTCAAGATTTTAGAGACCAATCATTTCCTGCAGATTTTCCTCTGCTTTCTGATCTCCACCTACCTCCTCCCAAAGACAACAAAGAGACTATTTCTGATCAGTGCAGGCAGCCGAGAGTGCCCAGTGTGTGTAAGGTGCAGGGTAAGGGAACAAGAGACCATGAATCCAAGATTCCTTCTTGGCATTATGGTACCATTGGGTTGCCCAACGGCTTGAGTATGTTAACCCCTTGCTTTATGGCTGGAATTTTAATGACCCCTCCTGGAGCTTTTCTGAAGGATTGATTTTTTGCGTGGTGTTTATTCATATTCCAGAAACCAACTCTTAACATCAAATAGCAGTGATGGTGAATTACAAGACAAAATCTGCCCAAAGCACCAAATTGTCAGACCGTGGCACACCCCAAGATTTTGAAACCAGTTAGTTTGGCTGCCTCTCCCTGTAGCTTGTTAAAACCTGAACTGGGTGCTTTGGTTAGTGGTTTGGGGATAGAATTTTGGAGCTGTATTAGGAGATGTCCTGGCCTGATGTACAGCCCACTTCCCCCAGCAGCCAGGAGCAGGGGAGCTGGGAGAGTGGGGTGCCAGCCACTTCCCCTGTCCCTAACCAATCTTGTGTCTCGCATCCCTCCAAGGCTCTGCGGGTACCTTTAAAGTAAGTTTCCCCCACTTCACAAAGTTGCAAATGTCTTTGCCCATAATTTCAAAAGTCTTGTCTGAACTAGACTTTCACTGTTCCTTTAGGGTAGGAATCTTGTTTTCTCTCCGTCCTGGCGTCTTTACCCTCTCCCCACCCTGGGGCCTGGTCCCCAGCCAGTGGACTCTGTTAATATGAACTGGCAGTGGCAGGGTGATCCGGGCACTGCTTAGACAGCTCCTGGCACTTGTCACCAATTATCCCAAGTCTCACTTTTTTCATCGTCGTCGTCGATGGATGCCCTCTGCAGATCATGACCCCAAGTTCAGGGTACAGGACTCCTGCCATGCCTCCGCTCCCCAGGAGATACCTCCCCACACTCCCACCCCGACAAACTCCTAAAGCTCTCTGCTGTTCTGAGCCCGCGGCTTCCGACGCCTGGAGGCTGATCCGCGCCTGGGCTTGGGGACCATCAGAGTGCAGCCAGGTGGCAGCGGCCAGGGCGCCCAGCTCCCGGGGCTGCCTGCAGGGTGGGGCCGCCCTCGCCGCCGCTCCCCACCCCCGCGCCTTCCCCATCCCCAAAGACGACACCCCTCCTTCCGCCCGGCCCGCTCCCCACCCTCGCGCGGCGCCGCCTCTCCCGCAGCCCGCCCTTGCCTAGAGCCTCCCAGGCAGCCAGCGAGCGAGGGGAGCGCTCTGGGATGGGACTTGGAGCAGGCGGCGGAGGAGGAGACGGCGGCAGCGGCGCGGGCTTCTTCCTCGGCTCCCACGAGCGATCCTCGAGGACAGCCGCGGCCCCCGGCGAGGCGAGGAGGCCAGAGAGGAAGACCCGGGCGGCCGCGCCCCTGTCTCGCTTCCCGGGCGCCGTCGGCGGCGGCTGCAGGTGAGTGCGGCGCGCTTTCCCCGGGGGTCTGCGCGGCCCGGCGGCCCCGAGGTGCAGGCAGACAGACAGACAGAGCCTGGGCTGGCTGACGCACGCGGGAGCTCCCCCCGCCGCCCGGCCACTGCAGCTCCGCGTGGCCCCGAGCGCCCGTGGCTGCCACCCCATCGAGGAGAGCGGGAGCGGGCGGGCGCGCCGCCCCGACCCCACGGCTGGGAGAAGTCCCGCCGCCCCCGGCCGGCGAGCAGGGCGCGCTCCCTGCGCGGGACGCACGGCGCGGCAGCGGCCCCGGAGTGCCCCGTGGGGGCGCTGTGCCCGCAGCGGGGACACCCAGGCCGGGTCTGCACCGAGCGGGGAAAGGGAGACTTGTTGAGCGGATATGCAGAGTGACTCCTATTGAACTGGCAGCCGATGAGTCCTGTTTCCCCGCCTTCGGAGCCTGGTATTTTAATGCCAGTGTCATCTGGATTTTGTTCTTGGTTCGCCGTGGCGGCTAAAGCTCCAGCTTCTCTATATTATGGAAGAGGGAGAGAGAGGGGAGGGCATTTTGTAGTAGTTGATAGAAACCCCGAGGACAGTTTGGGGAGAGGATGGAAAAATGGGGACTGTTGTAGTAGGGTCTCCAGGACTGGGCGCAACAGAAAGGTACTCTCCTCAGGGACACACACTCCCACCCTGAACAAACCCACCTGACCCAGTTCCAAGCTGCCATAAATCAGGAAACCACAGTGCATCTGCCTGGAGTGCATTTACAGTCAGCCTTTGAGGAATGGGGCGGTCCGGATAGTCAAGAGGCTGCCGGGGTCCGTGGTCAAGAGCGGAGACTCAGGGGTCAGCTTGTCTGGGTCTAAGGCCCAGCTATGAAGCTTACAGGCTTGATAACTTGGAGGTACCCAACTACTCTATGCCTCAGTTTCCGCATCTGTCTAATGGGCATGGTAATACCCGCAGGACTGGGAGGATTAAATGAGATGTGACAAGTAAAGGCCTTAGAATATTTCTTTTTCTTTTCCTGAGAAAGCCTCATCTATCCGTAGAACATTTCTAGGAGCATCCTAAGGTTATGTGATGAGCTCCACCACCTGTCTTTCCAGAAAAAGCAAGGACTGGTACCAGCAGTGAATTCACCTCTAGCCCAATTCAGAGAGAGAAAGAGGCTCTCCAAGAACATGTGAGGGTGACAGATAATCCACATGTATTTAACTAGAGTTTTCCATGCGCGAGCCTACTCCTGCACAGTTCTCCCTGCCTGCTTTCAAAGGGACAGCCTCACAAAACCGTGTCAAGATACCGAGGTGGGTTTATGGCCTGGAAAGTTTCCTCTCAGCCTCTGAAGCTTGGTCCTGTAGAATCTTCCGTTGAGAATGCAGATACCTACCTATCATTTTCCTCACTGTCCACACTTTTAACTTTTATTCCTTTCAATAGAATTCAGTTTAAGGCCCCTGAGTTACCAGGCCTCTCTCTTTTTTTTTTCGAGACAGAGTCTCACTCTGTTGCCCGGGCTAGAGTGCCGTGGCGTCAGCCTAGCTCACAGCAACCTCAGATTCCTGGGCTTAAGCGATCCTTCTGCCTCAGCCTCCTGAGTAGCTGGGACTACAGGCATGTGCCACCATGCCTGGCTAATTTTTTCTGTATATTTTTAGTTGTCCAGCTAATTTCTTTCTATTTTTTTGGTAGAGACGGGGTCTCACTCTTGCTCAGGCTGGTCTTGAACTCCTGAGCTCAAAGGATCCGCCCGCCTCGGCCTCCCAGAGTGCTAGGATTACAGGCGTGAGCCACTGTGCCCAGCCCCAGGCCTCTCTTTTTTACAAATTAGGGCTCTAAGTTCCTTGTTCCCAGAGTTCAGACCCAGACAAACTGGAGCCACCGAGGCCTGACCTCACTTACTGCAGGTGTTGCATCTGAAATACCCTTAAACAGTTGTCATGCCCTATGCTCTTGTCAGCCAGCACCATATGTCTTTGTTCAGCAAAAGGTAGTTGAAATGAGGCCCAAAATTTAAAGAAAAAGGAGATGCCAGGTGTGGAGGCTCACACCTGTAATCCCAGTGCTTTGGGAGGCTGAGGCAGGAGGATTACTTGAGGACAGGAGTTTGGGACCAACCTGGGCAGCATAGCGAGACCCCATCTCTACAATTTAAAAGAAAAGAAAAGGAAAGAGATGATTGCTCCTTGAAATAGAGAGCCATTGGAGATTCTGGAAAAAAAATTCCATAGTTTGCCTAGCAACAGTTCTGGCTGATACCTAAGAGAAAGCAAGGGGTGTGGTGGGGGCTGGGAAAGGGGAAAGGGGGAGAGACAGGCTCAGGTCTCAGGAAAAGGGCCGAAGCAGGTGTGCGTGGGTGTAGCACTGGCCTGGGCAAGGTGTTGGGACAGGAGGCTAGACAGGCAGCGGGAGAGGACATGCTGACTCAGGGGTGAATGGCTGAGGTTTAAGACCAGTCAGGTCAGCAGAGAGTCTCTAGGGCTTTCTCTTGGATTTGCTGCCCTCTGGTCTGTAGCACATGCAAGGGAGTCCTTTCCCGGGATTCCCTGTCTTCTAGGGAAGCTAAGGAGGACGCCTCTGCTTAAAGTATAGGAGAGGCTAACTCAAAGGGTCGGGGAAGAGCGAAGTCAAAGCGCCAAGGAGAAGGGAGCGTATTGGTGCTGCAGCTGGTGAATGGTGCCAGGGAGGGCCTTCCAAGGCACCAGTTGCCACTTGGAGCTTTAGCCTGTGAGGTCATCCTTGAACCCTGCCATGTGTCTCGGCAGACAGCCACCACTGCCTGAAGTGGGCTCAGCTGGAACAGCAGGGCTGGGCTGAATTCCAGAAGCCTTGGCTCTTGTCGGTAATTGGTGGTAATGACTGTGACAGTGACTTTGACAGTGATGAGAGGGAGTACAACAGGAAGTGTGCAGTGTGCTTTGAGGGTACAACTGAACTTGGCTTTGGAAAGACCTGGGTTCCCATCCCAGCCCCCCGTAACTATAAATAGTTTGAAAAGTTCCTTAGACTCTCTGTGCCTCAGTTTCCTCGTTTACAAACGGGGAACTAGAATTATTGGGAGAATTAAATTAATTAATACACGTTCAGTACAATGGCTGGCTCAGAGTAAATGCTCATTATTTATTAGCTATGCTTGCCTTTATTATCTGAGCCTTGGTTATATCATCCATCAAATGGGTGTGATATTAGGTCATAGGATGTTGTGAGGGTTAAATGAAGTGATCGTTGTGAATTTATCCAACACATTGGGAAGGATACAGTAAGAACTCAAAGTGAGTTGACTGAAACCGAAATTTTCACAAAATACCTGCACATGAAAATAAGTGGCTCAGCAGGTGAACCCGCTAACATTTTTGGGAAGTTCTAAGAGTACTGTCAGAAGAACTTCCGTCTACTTGTGGAAAATGTGGCTCACTGCTCATTGGAAAACCCAGTTGCTATTTTAGGTTATTGTATTAGTTTCCTATTGCTGCTATAATAAATTTCACAAACGTGGTGGCTTAAAACAACACAAAGTTGTTATCTTGCTGTTCTGGAGGTCACAAGTCTGAAATGGGTTTCACGGGGCTAAAATTAAGGTGGCAGCGGGGCTGTGTACCTTCTGCAGGCTCTGGGGAAAATCTGTTGCCTTGTGTTTTCTGACTTCTACAAGCCGCTTGCATTTCGTGGCTCCTGGTCCCTTCTTCTGTCTTCAAAGCCAGTGACATAGCATCTTCCAACCCCCCTCCCTGCTCTGACTCTCCCATCTCCCTCTTATAAAACCCTTGTGATTGCATTGGGCCCACCTGGAAAATCCAGGTTTATTTCCGCATCTCAAGATCCTGAACTTAATCACATCTGCAGGGTCCATTTTGCCATGTAAGGTAACAAAGTCACTGATTCTGGGGATTTGGCAAGACGTCTCTGAGGGGCATTATTTTGCCTGCCACAGATGGTTTTGGAGAAACCGATTTAAATCAAAGGGTTTTAGCTCACTGCTGTGTGGGCCTGTTGCTGCACCTTCCCATTTAGGGGAGTTTGTTTTCACTTGTCTTAAAGACGACAAGTCCAAGACCAGAGGGGTCAAGGCCAAATCTCCCTTTGTCAGCCTGGGGCTTCTCTAGACAGTTCAGAAGTTGCTGCTACTTCCTGTCCTTTCTGGGCTCTCTCCCTTCCCTTGACTAACCCCTTTGACCCTGGCCCCTCAGCACAGTCTCCATTTCCCCATCAACATCATTTGCTGACTTTTCTAGCTCAGATTTTCTAGCTCCTTCTTCTCTTCCATTTACAGTGAAATACAAAGAATATCCCCATCCCCAGAACCAGGTCTCTGCTAAGAAAATCACCACCGCATGGTGTTTGACCTCCCTGAGATTTCCAGACAGTGTCTGTATGAGTTTTGTATTGCTGCTGTAACAGATATACTGCAAATATACTGTTGGCTTAAAACAACACAAATGTATTATCTTACAATTCTGGAGGTCAGAATTCTGAAATGGTTCTCACTGGGCTGAAATCAAGATGTTGGCAGGGCTGGAGCCTTCTGGAGGCTCTCAGGGAGAGTGCATGTACTTGCTTTGTCCAGCTTGCAGAGGCTGCCACATGTTGCTTGGCTTGTCACCTCCTCCCATCTTCAAAGCCAGCGACATCAGGCTGTGTCCTCACACTGCCACCTCTTTGGCGCTCTCTTCTGGCTTCCTTTTCTACCTTTAAGGACCCTTGTGATTACACTGGGCTCACCTAGATAATCCAGGATAATCTCCCTATTTTTAAAGTCCATCTGATTAACAACCTTAATTTCCTTTGCCTCGTAACATAATATATTCACGGGTTCTGGGGGTTAGGATGCGAACATTGTTGGAGGGCCATTATTCTGCCAACCACAGGGCCTGGGAATGAGTTCCAAATCATGACCAGCTGTGCAGCATCATTCTTATTAACTATCCCTTTTTAGAATGTGCACAGTGGCCCATTCAAAAGAGAACACCTGTTAAACTCTCCAAAATTCCTGCTGCAACTCTGATCTCTCTGAATCC